GAAGTAGGTGTATATTTTCTAAGATCAGCATTATTACCTCTTCCAGGTCCTTGAGGTTCTAATCCACATTTTAATATTTGTGGTGGATTTGTTCATTATTTGTTGTAAGTTTTTTTTACTTTGAATGCTTCTTTAGTGAGCTTTGGTTTTCTGTGGAAGTCCTGAGGAGCCAGGGTGGTGAGCGGGATCCTCCAGTCCCCTTTTATACTTTCTTTGGCCAATTTTTGCATTAATTCCCTGGCTCAGGAATTCCTGAACTCCATGTTTGCGTGGTATGCGAGCCTAATATTTTCTTTCTTCAGTCAGCTGAGACAAAAAGCTTTCTTGTCATCTCACCATTCTGGTGGGAGGATGTTTTTTTCCTAGTCCACCTTGTTATCTTCAGTCTCCTGCCAGAGCCTCTTTTCATTGGCCAAGCCCAGGCAGAAGCCAATTAAAACAGGAGCTTAGAGAAAGCAACCTGGAGGCTCTGCCTCCTTGTAGAACAGAGCAGAGCATGGAGGGTGAGAGAGGGGTCTGGGAACAAACAGGCCCAGGACCAAAATAGTGTTTCACCACTGAACAAATACTTCCTGACTGCTGGTGGCCGAAATGCTGTGCCCTGTTTGATACTATGCACCTGTGTTAGACACAGTCCCTACCCTCCAGGGGGAGACCTGGACACACTAACTGTATGAGTTAAGGACAATGCGAGTTAGAATATGCACCGTGTTGAAGTACAGATAACAGGTTGGGGACAGCTCAGTGGTGGAGCACACGCTCAGCATATGTGATGCTGCCGGTTCAATCCCCAGCACCCCCAGCACCAAATGCAGATACAAACGAACATCAAGGAGCCACAAAGGAGAAGCGAGTCTGGAGTCTGTGGGACTGGGGGATAGCAAAGGTTTTCCCCAAAGTGGTATCCCGTGAGCTGTGCCTTGAAGGATGAATACGAGCCAGGCAAGGAACAGAAGATAGAGCAAGGGACAGGAGCAAAAGCAGCAGAGCATGGAGGGTGCGTACATGTTCTGAGCTCTGAGCTGGGCCTTGGAGGTGAACAGTGGCACACAGTCAAAGCAGAGGCTGGAAAGGCAGGCAGGCTGGATCGCGGAGCACCTGGAGACCTTGGGCCCCGAGTCACCGAGTTAGGATTTCATTCTGGAACGTGAGAGCCATTAGACACTTTGTGAGGGAGGAACGTAAAAAACACAGTGCCTGGCTTGAGCTGTTTAGTAGAAATACACTGTGAGTCACGAACAGGCCCCATACGTAATTTTAAAATGTATAGCAGTCACATTTTCAAAAGTAAAAAGGGGTAACATTTTATTTAATCCAGTTATCCAAAATATCATCCCAGTGTGTAATCAATATACTATTTAAGATAATATTTTACATTGTGCTTTTGTTGAAAGAGATCTTCAAAATCCAGTATGTAGTTGAGGGTATGGCTTAATGGTAAAGCACCTGCCTAGTGAGCCCGAGACCTTGAGTTCAAACCCCAATGTCACCAAAAAACTCCAGCATGTATTTTATACCTGTAGCCTGTGTTTGTACTAACCACATTCCAAGAGTTCAGTAGTCAACACACTGCTTTGCCTACTGTAGAGACAGAGCAGGTACAGAAGATGGCAAAGGGATGCATTCCACCCATGAAACCTAAGTCCTCAGTTCAGCAAAAGATTTTACTTTCCCTTCCCTCAAAAAGAGGGTTCTGTGGTAGCAAGCATGAGGCTCTGAGTTCAAACCCTAGCACCACCAAAACAAACAAAAAAAAAACAATGTTCAAACATTTGGGCTGGTGGAGTGGCTCAAGTGGTAGAGTGCCTGCCTAGAGGGTTCTGTGGTCAAGTAAGTATTTGCATCTCTGGGCCATTGAGCTGAATGTGGCTTTAGTGCAGGGCTTCTCCGGGCCAATAGGCTAATTTTAATGTGCCTTGTGGCTGTATGCAGTATGCAGCATGGCCCAGAGTCATGTGACCTTACAGGACAAGAAGACCATGTCCCTTTCTGGTATCTGCTAGTTTGGAGGGAGCAGAGAACCTGGCAGCAAGAAGAGAGGAATTTCCGAGGGAGGCACCAAGAAGAGGAGAATCAGAGGCTGAGAAGGAGAGACTCCGCCCCTGTGGAGGCAGCATGTCTGAGCTGCAGTGCTGTGGCAGGCGAAGGAGGCTGTGAGCCAGAAAGGGGTCACTGAACTTGGCAATGCTGAGATCCTGGCTTCCTTCCTGAGAGCTGTGTCAATAGAGCAGTGGGACAGAAGGCAGAGTACCCAGCGTTAGAGAAGTGACAGGGACTTGGCCCTGAGTGAAGACCCCTCTTATGACTTTGGCACTGACACAAAAGAGAGAGGTGCAAGGGCTGGTGGAGAGGCTCAAGTGGTAGAGTGCCTGCCTACCAAGCGTGAGGCCCTGAGTTCAAACCCCAATACCACACACAAAAAATAAAAAAGGAGAGCGGTGCTGAGGAAGAGGCAGGTTGAAGGAAGGGTACTTTGTTTTAAACAGTGGGATAAGTAGGATACTTTACTCTGTCACTGGACTAAAAATGAGCCAGTGAAGACCCTAGAAGAGGGAACCAGGTGAGAACACTGGCTTCAGAAAGAAATGGGGCCCTTCATGCGACGAGTAAGCATAGAGCTAAAGCCCATGGATACAGGGACATCGGGTGGCCACCCGTGTGGGTAAGAGCATCTGAAGTGAGAAGTGAAGGCAGGAGTCAGGGTGGAAACAAGCAGGGTGGACGTGTAAGAGCAATTTAATAAACAGCAAAGGCGTCACCAGTGCATGGGGGCTGGCCTGCTGCGGGTGCACCAACTTGGAAATAATAAAGCCCCTGAGGCTTTTCTGTTCTAAGTTATTGTTCCAGTTAGAGAGTCCAGTGTTTGTGAGTTTTAAGTAAATGATTGTTTCACAGAACAGAATAAAATGAAGCTCCCCCAAAAGCATTATAATTTTGAACATGACAGCAGTATTTCGTGTTACTTGCTGAATTCAATTTTTTTTCCACTGTGAGAATAATTTTTAAAACCTATTGTCCACATCTGCAGGACATAGAAAAGCTATCTTCATTAGAACATCTGTAAACCTAAATCTATATCAGATATTATAAAAATTCAAAGGAAATCAGAAAAAGAAAAACTCTCTTTTAAAAAAACCAATGCAGGGAGGTCTGGTGGCATGGCTTAAGTGGTAGAGTGCCTGCCTAGAAAGTGTGAGGTCTTGAGTTCAAATCCTATATTCCCCCCCCACCAAAAAAAATATCTGGACATAGCTCAGTAATAGAGCACTTGCCTAGCATGCATGAGGCCCTAGGTTCAATCCCAGCTCTGCAAAAACAAACAACACACAAACACAAACACACATGCACACACACAAAAAAACAGATCCTTGTATGTTCATATGTATCTTGTATGTTGGGGTTTTGTTCCCATTGCCAGACAAGGCTTCTCTGTGAGGAACATTTGCATCTGTCACAAATCCCCAAGGCTTGACCTAGGGACGCCCCTGCTGACTTTCCTGCTTGCCCTCTGCTGCAAGTGACTGTCCACACTTCATCCTTCTTCCTCTCTCCCAGCTTCCTGAAACACACTGCTGGCTGCCTCATGCAGTAGCTCTATGGGTTCTACTAAAAGGGGAATTCCAGGGCTGGCGGAGTGGCTCAAGGGGTAAGAGAGCCTCCAGTGCTGCCAAAAAAAAAAAAGGGAAGAAAAGGGGAATTCCGGGATTTTCAGTGTGGTTCAAGCAGTAGAGGGCCTGCCTACCAGGTGCAAGACTGTGAGTTCAAACCCCAGTACTGCAAAAAGGGAGAGGGGATTCCTTTGACCAATTAAATTTAATACAGGTAAATAAATTTAATAGAGCAAACAATAACAAAACAAAAACAATCCACGAATAGGGTTGCTCCCAAACAGGTTCTAAGAACTCCAACCAACCCTGTGATCTGATAGCACTTCTCAAAAAACAGAAGTAAGGTATTCAGAAAATCACTTAATTGGCTACAACTTAGTTACATAAGCAATCATTTGGTTACAGCTTAACCGGGTAATTAATAATAGCTTAATTAGTTACTGGCCACTGGACCTCCTACAAGTAACCAAAACTCATTTATAGGATTACATTCTATACTGGTTTGGTCTGTTGGATGCCAGTCCAACTCCATGACCTCCCACTTACTTGATTTCACAGGCGTGCCTGTGTGTGCCTTTCGTCTGAGGCATTTCCTTGTATCTCTGTGCACAGACAAGTCCTTGGCTACTTGACGAATGATTCTGGAGTCTGTCACTTCACGATTTGCCATCTAGTTCAGCTCTGATTGCCCATAAATTGATCGACAGTGCAGTACATCTTGCCCTGATGCAAGGCTGCTGTGACTTCTCTCCAGCTGGCTTGTGACTAGATACCTGCAATGTATACAAAGTCAGGATTTCTTTGTTCCAGTGGATTAAGGCAGGTTCTGTTGGGAATTGCTGACTCCTGGGAACGTCAGGTTTTCTAACTTGAGAAATCTAGAGACCTGTTTCTTGGACCTTTTTTTAAACAGTAACTCAAAGTTAGGAATACATTTTACATCCCCAAATACATACATAACTAAGAACATTCACAATCCTTATCAAAGCTGTACCTATGCATTCTATTTGATTTCTTTTTTAAATACTGGGCCTGCCCAACATTTAAAACAACTAAACAATGTCCCAGTGATGGTTTATGATCTGCAGTTTGAGAACACCAGCCCCGGGCATTGATTCATTGAATCATTTCACTAACTTCAAAAATGCCTTGAGACGGTAAGATTCTAATCTCTTTCAGGACGTTTCTAAAAAAATCTTTAGTTCTGTCATTGTTACTCAGCAATCAGGAGCATGCTGAAATGTTCCAGACCTTGCTAATTTGCCCTGAGTGGTTGGTCATTAAATCCAGCTCTCTGCATATCCGTAGTGCTCTTTTGAAAGCAGTTATTCTTTCAAAGCAGCATTTGTCAACCCAGCACATCTCCTGATAAATGTCTGTTTTCTACAAAGATGACTAAAGTAATATTTTAAGCTCTACCCTGTCTTTCTGCAGGGTGTGCTGATCTCCAAGCCCTGGACACAATGCAGCCAACTGAGAGGAAAAGGCAGGGCTATATTCACGAGCTGATTCAGACAGAAGAGCGGTACATGGATGACCTGCAGCTCGTCATTGAGGTGAGGGGCCTTGGCTTACTAGCTCTGCAGCACTGCACCTCCTTGCAGGGGTCAGTGTCCAGGCTGTTCCACCCTGGAAGCAAAGTGAGGCATCCCTCTTGTTTGTTTTGTGGTGCTGGGGTGGAACCCAGGCCTCTTGCATGCTAGGTGCTCGCTCTACCCTTGAGCCATACCCACTGCATGTCACATTTGATCGTGCATCCCAAACAGTGGCAGGGCACTCACTGGCTCAAAATGTTGCTCTGTCCACTGGGTAATGCTTGAAGAAGACTGCCAGCTCGGAGAAGGATGTGGGCTCTTTTCACCAGCTTGAGCTTGTTCAGAGTGGAGAGAAAGAAAAGGAGAGAGCATGAATGCCTCAGCTGGATGTGGTAGAGCCCATCAAGGAAGGACAAGGATACAGAGTAGGTATAAACGTCCCAAAGCAGACTTGACCTCAAATTTCTGCCTAACTCTGTTACACTGCTGTTTGGACACTTGGCAGTTTCATTGACTTGGGTATTTCCAGAGGAACTGTGAAGCAGTGAAAGTGTATCAGTTTAGAAAATCAAATAGCAAATTGTAAAATATTCCCCAAATACAGAGAACAGAGGAGATGAAAGAGAAAGTTCTTGTCTTCAAAGAGCCCAGGGGAGAGGACCGCCCTCAGCCAGGAAAGACTCCCCCAGTTAGGCTCAGACAAGGCCAAGTCTGCCAGGAAGAGGAAACAGAAGTAGGAGGATGTATACAGAGGGGTTAGGGTCACAAGCACAAGTTGTTCGGTGTGGTTGGAGTGTTAAGGGGTTTCCAGCTGACAGGCTGTGAGCCTCAAGAATGAGTGAAATCCATCACACAGCCAGTGCAGAGACTTCGAACAGTTTCAATATGGAGCAATATGCCACGTGTGTTTTTGGAAAGATCACCTGTGAGAAGAGTTCTTCCATATAACCACTCTAGTTCCTTAAGGGTTTTAAAGCAGACCCTAGGGATCACAGCTGTTTAGTGGAAACTTGGACTTAGAATCAAAAAGAGATTGAAGTGCCTTCAAATTCTGGCTTTGTGACCTTGATTAAATTCCTCCGAGTCTTTATTTCTTCGTGGGCCAGTTGGGAATAATACCTGAGTTGTTTTAACTGTATCATCTCTGAACTTAAGCGAGAACATGTGTGTACACCAGTGCATCCACACACATCTGCACACATGGGATACAATGGGCAGCATTACTCTCTCCACTGGTCAGCCCACTTCTGCAGTGCACATCTGCTTGAGGTCACTCTGTGTCCTCACTGAGCTTCTCACAAAAACATCTTCAGAGCTCTGAGGTGATCAGCCCAGCAGCAGCCACACTTGCTCAGATCTTAGACTCTGTGCAGTGCTTTGCACCTGCGTCCTGATTGGCTTCATAACAACCCTAGACAGGAGGGGAAGAATCTCCTCTTATTGACAGATTACTAGGCTCGGTTCTTAGAAGCAGCCTTAAGAGGAGCCCAAATGCAAAAGGTAGGGAAATTGTGTAGTTAAAATGTAACAGTCATAAATATCCTTATTTAGAAATTCTATGATCTTAGAGTCCATGAAGACATCGTTTACTTTAGGCCACACAGGCTGTGCATCCACACTGAAGCTAACTTAACTTCTGCTATGTTTGGAACTTAGGTTTTTCAGAAACGGATGGCAGAGTCGGGCTTTCTCACTGAAGGAGAGATGGCCTTAATCTTTGTTAACTGGAAAGAGCTCATCATGTCCAACACAAAGCTGCTGAAGTGAGTCTGCATCTTCTGTCACGCTCAGCCCCCTGCTCGGGAACTGAGCAAAGGAACTTTCCACTGCTGTCTGCTCCCTGGGGCTTTATATTGTCTTATCATTTTGTAAAATGCTCAGTAACTGTAAAATTCATAATTTTTAAGGAAAGTAAAGGAATGTAGTCAAAAAAATGCTTTGATTAAGCAAACAAACAAAAAACATTAAACAATGTATTAGTGTATGATTCCAAGGCACCAGCCATGCTGGCTCTGGCAGGAGGGGTAGGAGTCAGAGGAGGAGCTGCAGCTCAGAGCCAGACCTGGCCACCCAGTTTGTAGCCTCCTACGCCCCCATATGCAATTCCAGCCCTAGGACACTGTAAGGACAGACTCCCAGGCCTGGCTGTGCCTCTGCCCACCCAGGGTCAGCAGCCCTACTAGAGCACTGCTCCTCCACCTCTACCCCTGGCCTCTGTCGCTCCCTCATCCTTTTTCCCTTACAGGCTGCTGGAATTTCTTTTGGATTCAATTGAGAACAAGTTAGAATTTTTCAGAAGAAACTAAGGAGAACCCAAACTAGTCCTAGAAAGCACTCAAGTATACAGATTTCACTTCCTTCTTCTTTGCTTGCATTGCCCCATGTTGGCTTGCCCAGGAGAGCTTCAGGCCCTTGCTGCCTCCTCTTCCCCCGACCTTTCCCTCTCAGTGCCAGTTTCCTTGGTAACACACAGGGTATCATTGTCACTGGTCTCCGATAACATTCATCCTTTAATTTCCAAGGACAGTCTGTGAGAAACAGTGAGTGTGTGTCGTTTGCAGGGCCCTGAGAGTGCGGAAGAAGACCGGGGGTGAAAAGATGCCTGTGCAGATGATTGGGGACATCCTGGCGGCCGAGCTGTCCCACATGCAGGCCTACATCCGGTTCTGCAGCTGTCAGCTTAATGGAGCGGCTCTGTTACAGCAGAAGACCGATGAAGACGCAGACTTCAAAGAATTTTTAAAGGTAACTCCATTCTGGATCCTGCAGCATCTTTCCTGGATAGCAGGCACACTGGCCCCTTCTGAGCCTGGAGGCAGCAGTACCCTTCCCACTGGGGACTCTCAGCAGGGGAGAAGGGTGTCCCCATCAGCTTCCCAACAAAGCATAAATACAACAAACAACTTTCTGATAGCTTTGTGTTGCCTTTCAGGTAGACCTGAGTTTTCTTAGTACTGTGAACGTGATTTTACACTTGAGTAACAAATCAATGGGGTGGTTTTGGTTGGGTTGTTTTGGGGTTTATTTTATGAGGGATTAAACACAGCTTTGATCTTGCTAGGGAGGTGTGCTACCACTGAGCCATGTCCCCAGCATGGTTTTTTCTTTCTTTTTTTTTTTTAAGCAAACTTAATTATGAACTACTATATTTTCCCAAAGAAATTTCCACAATTTCACTTTCTTTTTTTGGCCATATTGGAGTTTGAACTCTGGACTCTACTACTTAATCCACACTCTTAGCCCTTTTTGCTCTGGTTCTTTTGGTGATAGGGTCTCACTTTTGTCCAGGCTGGCCTGGACCACAATCCTATTTTATGCTTCCAGCCATAGCTGGAATGTCAGATGTGTGCCACTACCCAGCTTTTTTCTGTTGAGATGGAGTCTCACAAAATTTTTTTGTCTGGACTGGCTTTAAACCACAATCTTCATGATGTCAGTCTCCAAGTAGCTAGAATTACATGCACAAGCTACTGTACCCAACTCAGAATGTCATTTTCTTAATTTTGTTAACTTTCTTTAATAATCAACTTAAATTTCAGAAAGAATATAAAATAGCTTGCTTAAATGTATAAAATGCAACCAAATAAGATGAAATTTAAAGTAACTAAATTAATAAACTGGGATGAAAGGAAATGAGAGTAGGAAAAAAAAAAGTGATACCAGGCAATAGGTAATACATAAAATGCAAGTCTGTGACCCCATGCATATACCAGAAGTGCACACCGATGTCGTTGACGCCTCCGCGAACTGATGAGAAAGGGAAGGGTCAGTTCCATGGTGCCGTGGTCATAAAACTAAACGCAAAACTAAGCGAGAACTGAGACATGCAATATAGTTCTGATGTAATAAATCCCAGCTTCCTTATGTGATTTATCAGTGAACTTCATGCATCTGGTTATTGTTAATAGAATGTCACAGTCTGAAGTCAGGTGTGGTGGCCCACACATATTGTCCCAACACTTGAGAGGCTGAGGCAGAAGCATAAATAAGAGGCTCAGGGTGCAGGCTGGCCAGGGCATAAAAGCGAGACACTATTCAAAGTAACTAAAGCAAAACTTGCTGGGGGTGTTGTGCAAGTGGCAGATCGTCTGCCTAAAAACACAAGGCCTTGAGTTCAAATCCCAACACCATCAAAAAAAGGCAAAATCTAGCATAAGCTGTACCCCAAAATGTTCCTTTTTTAAAACTCAGAAAATACAAAAAGCATGAAGATGCCTGTTATAGCAGAATATGTAGGTAGAGATCTATCCAAAAACAAAAGGAGAAGCAATTTTAATGGGCAATAGTGGGAATGAGTAGGTAAATTACAGCAAATGTATCTTTTAGTCAATAAGAATTATCTTCCTGGAGTCTTGCCTACTCTCTTTAGGTGCTTTGCTGTCCTAGGACTAGGAACACAGGAGATGGGGTCTTTGGCCCCCTGACATTAACAGTCTGATGGGGGATAGAGGTCCTGGATGACCTGGAGCAAGTAGGGTGTACACTCAAAGTGACCAGAGGACAGTCACAGAGAGGAGGGAAGGCATCCCAGGAGGGAAGCCTGGTCAAGGGAAACCATGGCCTGGGTCTTGAGAGACGAATGTGAGTCAACCATGAGACAGGCAGCAGGGCGGTGCTGGCAGGGGCTCATGCATTCATTACCTGGCACACAGAAGGTGCTTAATTAGTGGTAATGATTGCTTTGATGAGGTAGGGATAGTGAGTTTGCCAAGACAGGGGAAATCAAGAGCTATCAGAAGACAGAAAGGAGTCATAGATAACTCCTGGGTGTGCGCATGGGTAGGTGGGGGCTGTGGAAAGATGCTACCAACACAGACAGGGATGGAGGCAGAAAAGATGATTTTGTGAGGGGAGAGGACTTCATTTGGGGTTCTCTTAAGATTGAGTTGCCTCTGGTACATTAGGTAAAGAGCGTTCCCTGGAGAGGGGGGAGCTCCAGAGAACTGGTTATAGACACTGGGCCTCAGCTGCAGGGGACCTGGGGCAAGAGCTCCATTTGAGAATGGATGGAGAGAAAGGGTGTGAAGAAGACTCAGGAGGCCAGTAGACTGGGAAAGCAGCCTGGAGAGAGGTTCTAGAAGCAAAGAAAGAATGACCACACAAGCTGCCAACAGCATGTGAGGAAGAACTGAGAAGAACAGGATTTGGATCATGAGCGGAGAAATCCTGTGGTTAGCGTGATAGATCATGTCAGATCGAGTTACTGAGATACATTTGAAATGTAGAAGTTTCACAGCATGAGTTTGGCCAGTGTTCCTTTGGCATGACTGGCTGTGATCTCTTCACGGATTGTGTTGCAGAAGCTGGCGTCCGACGCACGCTGTAAAGGCATGCCCCTCTCCAGCTTCCTGCTGAAGCCCATGCAGAGGATCACCCGCTACCCTCTGATCATCAGAAGTGTAAGTGTGCAGCCCAGCGGGCCCATTTAAAAGTAGGACCAGATACCCAGGGCACCCTCTGCCCTGTGGCCCAGGTGCTTGTGTGTGTGTGTGTGTGTGTGTGTGTGTGTGTGTGCGCGCGCACACACATGCACAAGGGTATGCACTTACCATCTGAAAGGCTGAAGCCTTAAGTGGGCAGATAGAGGCCAGTTGAGTGACCTATCATCTGCCTCGCAGGAGCCACCCTAATATCCCAGTCACAGGCCCTCCCAGTGTGTAGCGGTGGGGCACCCTGAAGCCAGACACAGGCTGAAGTTGCCATTAGCAAAGCCATGGGCTCCAGTCTGTCTTCTGAAATCTAAATTCATCTGCCAAACTGAGCAACTTTGTACTAAGAGTCTCCCACTCAACACATCCTAAACAGAGCCCAGGATCAAACCTCTCGTGCAGCCTGCTTCAACTTGCTGACTGAAGATCCCTTCTAAAATTCCAGCCATCTATACTCTAGTTTCTCTTCCGATCATATAAACCTTTTGCCTTTTACTAAAATTCCAACCATCTTTCTTTTTGAGATAAGCAGTGTGGGCATCTTGAGGCAGTTCACCTTCTAAGAAGACAGGTTTTAGGACCCAGTCAGAGAACAACAGATCCAAAGAGTACCTTTTCCCCCACCCCACTCGTCCCACCGAATTACCTGTCCCTACGTCCCCAAAGCACTTGTGGGACTGTGAACTTCGCAAAGTTAGACACCATGTCTCTTTCTCTGTGGTATTTCTAGTGCTAGCTAGCCTAAACCTCACACACATTAGTGTCAGCACCTTTTGGGAGGGTGAGAGGTCAGTGAATGGCTGGTGGGTGGGTGAAGGACACAGTGCCAACCATGTGACACTGCCCACTCTTCCAGATCCTGGAAAACACACCCCAGAGCCACGTGGACCACTCCTCCCTCAAACTGGCCCTGGAGCGGGCTGAGGAGCTGTGCTCACAGGTGAATGAGGGAGTTCGAGAGAAGGAAAACTCAGACCGGCTGGAGTGGATTCAGGCGCATGTCCAGTGCGAAGGTCTCGCAGAGGTGAGGCTGTGTTGTTGAGAAGGATGCCACCAAGCAGGGTCTAAGTGGGGTCCCAGCCCTAGGCCCTCCCCTGGCGTGGACAGTCCGTACCTTGGCTCAGCCGGTGCAGGCACACCATCTGCCCCTACAGGACACTCCTTAGAGTGTCATCTTCCTATTATCTAAGGAGCGATGACTGGAGTGTTGCTGAGTTCTTTGAATTCAGCAGGTAGAGTCAGTATTCTGTGGGTGTACGCAGAGATTTTCACTGGGCCAGTTGGAACTTTGAACATAAGTGTGAAGTTCTTTTGTGTAAAGGTGAATCATCCTAGCCACATTCCCTCATAGGAAAGTTTTTCTGGGTACCCTCAGGTCTAGAGAACTGGCCACTCAGGAATGCTTAGATGCTTTGTGCTGGGATTTACAAAGTGACATTTTCTTCCTCTTCAAGCAACTTATTTTCAACTCCCTCACCAACTGCTTGGGGCCCCGGAAGCTTCTGCACAATGGAAAGCTATACAAGACCAAGAGCAACAAGGAGCTACACGGGTTCCTTTTCAATGACTTCTTGCTTCTCACCTACATGGCCAAGCAGTTTGCTGTTTCCTCTGGCTCTGAGAAACTTTTCAGCTCCAAGTCCAACGCTCAGTTCAAAATGTATAAGACGGTGAGTACCACAGGCCCAGCCCAACGAGGCCTCACCATTACCTGAGTGCCTCCCTCCTGACTGAGCCTGCCCTGACTTCCTAGGACTCTTCACCGGCTTGAGGTGGCTTGTGTGTCCTTTGCTGCTTCCCAAAGGAAGGAGCCTAGTGCATCAGCCTCCCTCTGCCCACTGATGACGTCATCAGGATCCAGCTTTGGCTGCTGGCTTCCTCCTGGCAAACACAGTACCTGCTCCCACCTCTGGCCACAAATAGCCTTGGGTCTCTCTGTAAACCAGCCTGACATGGGCCAGGTGTGCGGAGCTCCTGCCCCCTGTCCAGGACCACCTAATCCACCCCAGATTATTGACCTTTGCAAATGGAGGTGGTTTCTTTCTTCCTGGGTTAAAGACCTTAGATACCAGACCCCTTCCTACTTCTTCAAGGCTCTTCAGAACAAACAGCTCTCTTTCTGGACACAGGTGGGTGGAGTGTTCTGGCCCATCTCATAGCCTATGTTTTGGCCCTAATTCTTTCAGCCCATTTTCCTGAATGAAGTGTTGGTGAAACTTCCACAGACCCTTCCAGCGATGAGCCTGTCTTCCACATTTCCCACATTGACCGGGTCTACACCCTCCGAACAGAAAACATTAACGAGAGGTCAGTCCTGACTCTGTGTGACCTGCCCTGAAATCTAGGAGAAAGCCAGGGCGTCTCCCTCAGCCATAAACCCACCTCCACCCATGCTCGAATCCTACCAACTCCGTCCTCAATCTCTCTTAGTGTCCTCTGCACTCCAGTCCCACAGCAAGCCTTGATTCAGATACACTGAGTCACACAGCCACCTCCTAACCCATCTCCCGCTTCCAGCCTCTCCTCACTCCACACCTCATCTGCTTGCCACTTGGCAGAGCCAACGCCTCAACCCCCACTAAATTCCTGTCAGGAGCTGCTCTCAAGCGGTGGTCCATGGCCTTCGCTGGTTTCCCAGGCCTCCCTCTGCCACCAGCCTCAGTCCCTCCCTGCCTCATGCCCACAGCCATTCTTCCTCTGGTGGAGCTCCCTCAGGGACGAGCACCTCTGACAAGCCATGGGACACCACTGCTGCTGTGCACATAGTTCTCTAGATTATAGCCCATGGTGCTGAGTGGTCACTGATGTGGCTAAATGTGTCCTCTAGCTTGGGTCCCCAGCACCTTGCAAGGGAAGTCAAGAGCTCTCTAGAAATTTTCAGCCCTTCCTCAATTAGCAATGGGGTCTTCTGCTTGAACTAAGATTAGGCGTATGACTAGAAACTTGCTAACACCAAGGTTAGCAAAAGAGAGACGGCAGCACAGAGCTCTTGGCCACGCATGAGCCTGTGAGGTGCCTGGGAAATCCCCACGGCCATGTTCTTCTTCTCCTCCAGGACAGCCTGGGTGCAGAAGATCAAGGCGGCATCTGAGCAGTATATCGACACTGAGAAGAAGAAACGAGAGAGGGCTTATCAAGGTACCAGTGCCCTAGTGGGGAGGGAGACCAGCGGACAGGACTATGGGCAGGGTGGGGTGTGGCCTAGGAGCACATTCCTGCTACTGCAGTGAGGCCTGTGATCGATCCTGCAGTGGAGCCCCAGCACCAGCCCTCTAGCTGCCACTGTTCCAAACTTCTTGAGCCCCACTGTTCAGTCGGGGGTACCAGGACCAGCTGCAGGGCCTTCCTTCTCTCTGCAGGAAGGTCTCTGTCCCTAATTCTTCACTGCATTCTATTTATGGCTACCCTCACCTCTGTGGCAATCACCTTGTTCCTTGGGCTGTGGAAAGTCACTTCTCTCCTCTTTTGGCCCCACCCGGCTCCACCTCCAGGACCCAACATCCTGGGCCCTACTTCCTTCACCCTTTCCCCTCCTTCCTTCACCCTTCCCCCCTCCCACTAGTAACCCCCCCACACACACTGTACCAATCCTGGTTTTCTTTTAATATTTAAGTTGATGTTCAAAAGGGTGTCTCAGTGCATGCCCACTGTGGGTGTGCTTTACTTTGATCCGTTCACACCCTTCCATTACTCTCCCTTACCCCTTTACCTCCCACCCCCCATTTTTCAACAGCTTTCAATACACATTCTTATATCCTCTGCCTTCACATCTTATGGTATGCAATATTACTGATGCTCTATCATTTTCTTTTTCTTTCCCTCTTTCCCTGAGTTCCATAGAGTAGTTCCACTGTTGCAAACATGTTGTACATTTGAGTTTGTATATGATCATGCTTGTTTTTGTGTATCTGTTTATCTTTGGATCTGTCTTCCACATGTGAGAGAAAATATGTGGCTTTTGTGTTTCTGATCCTGGCTAACTTCACTTAACACGATGTCCTCCAATTGCATCCATTTACCTTCAAACCACATGTCGTTATTCCTTATGGCTGAGTAATACTCCATTGTGTATATATACCACAATTTCTTGATGCATTCATCAGTTGTAGGGCATCTGGGTTGTTTCCAGAGTGTGGCTATTGTGAATAGCTGTGATGAACATCAGGGTACAGGTGTCTCTACTGTATCCTGTTTTATGTTCCTTTGGGTGGATGCCCAGGAGTGGTATCACTGGATCATATGGCAGATCTATCTCTAGTTTTTTGAGACATCTTTATACTGCTTTCCTTAGTGATTATGTCCAGACCTGCTCTTAGCCTCCTTACCCAATGGAAGCCTGTGCTCTGAGCCACACCTCACGTCTACCTCTCCCCTGCCATCCCTCGTCCACACCTTCCTTCCCTGTCCAGTCCTCCTGCTTCAGATCCTGCTGCGGTAGCTGCAGCTCTTTGTGTTTTTTTATCCAGGTTCCCCTTATTTTGTTCTATCCTCCTGAAAGGTATGTGGAAGTTGGCTTTTGCTGATTGAATGTTTTTTTAATGGTACTTTAAAAGCTTGCTATTGAAAAATCAATGACTGATGAATCATTTCATAAAGCATATAATGATCTCTTAATTAGTCAAAGATGTAATCACCGTTTTTCTCTGAGTTTTGCTTTACCATCAGTATCTGTGATGTATATCATTCTGCATTCTCCATGTTTCTGTTCTTTAGACATTTATTATTTACTGTGTGCCAGGCTCTGTGCTACACATAAGGCCTGCAGAGATGAGTAAGGCCAGGCCCTGACTTCAAAGGAACTAAAGCAAGTTCCCAGGTGGAGGTGTGGGCACAACTAGGGCCCCTTCTTATGAAGAAGGCTACACGTGCCCAGAGCTTACCAAGCATCCTGTTTGTTTTTAAGTCCTTAACCTAGTTAACTAACATTTACAAAGATAGTGTGGGCCCACTGACTCACTTCTCTGAGTAATAAAAGCAGTTTGAGCACCTCCTTAACTATTGCAAGACCTTAAGTAAAGCTGCCTGCTAAGGTGAAATGTTTACTCTCATGTACCTGGAATTTTGATGAGTGATTTGTTAGCAGTTTGACCCTGCATTTAAAAACTCTTGAGCACTTAGGAGAGTGAGACAGAGGAGTCACGTGTTCAAGGCCAACCTGGACCACATAGTGATACTGTCTCAAAACAACAAAAAATGTACACTATACACATATATGAAAATGTCATAATTAAACCCATTATTCTGTACAATTAGTATTTGCTAGTAAAAAAAAATGGGGAGAGATGGAGAACAGGAGGGCTGAAGGCTTGGCTCAAGCAGTAGAGCACCTGCCTCACTCACAGTACAAAATCCTGAGTTTCAAATTACAGTACTACCAAAAAACTTTTTTTTAATTTTTAAAAGCTCTAAATTAAGCATATTTTTTTCATATATAAAATGCAATTATGCAATTAAGTATAATTTCCATAAAAGTCTAGCACATGCCTAACACAAAGTAAGTAGCAATAAATGTTACTTGCTAATAAATACTGAACAGATATCATGTATTACTGTTTTATTAATATTACTTTGCGAGGCAAATTATACAGGAATGATAAAACAATCCATGGGCTACAGTGACTCCTCTTTGTCAGAGGAGACAGATATTATACAGAACTTCAGACCCAGCATGCTGTGGGGTGCTCCTAAGTCAAGGCAGTGAATACACAGAGGGAAGGAGTCTGGAAATAGCTGAGACTGACCTGGATCTTGATGGATCAGTAGGATTCTGATGGGCAGAGATAGTGGGCAAGGCATTCCTAGCAAGCAACACAGCCTGGGAAAGAGGCACAGAGCAGCCAGACGGTGGGCCACTGGGTCCAGTGCAGGGGCAGATGAAGCTTGGATAATGTTCTGGTTGGTTAGAAAAACAAACTGTGAGGGCTGGGAGTGTAGCCAGTGGTAAAGCATGTTCTTAGCATGCACCCAGCATTTGAGAAAAAGATAGCAAGAAAGATAAGACTGTGAGGGTCTACAGCTAGCATCTTCACTGTGCTGTCTGCATTCTGAGAAGAAATTAACATGACTCACCTTCCTCTTTTGTAGCACGCTCTCAAAAGACTTCAGGTATTGGGCGTTTAATGGTGCATGTCGTTGAAGCTACAGAGTTAAAGGCCTGTAAGCCAAATGGTAAATGCTTCTTTCCTTCAGTGATGTGATAATACCCTGTTCTTTACTGGTGACTCTTTTGAAAGGCAGTGTTCCAGTGCCATTAAAATAGCAGTAAACTTTATTGGACCAGTACCACTATTCTTTCCCCAATAAGCACCAACACCTGCTGTCCTGAGTGCCTCTGCATCACAGAGCAGTGTGTTGAAGGTACTTGCCAGCTCATGGGGAGCAGTCCTAACCTTAGAGCTTGTAGTCACTCCCCAAGGTTAGGATGCCATCAGTATTGGGAACACGGGGGCCATGTTGCTAGATCACAAGGCAGGTATGGTCCACCGGCAGTGACCCTGCTACTGTGGTCTAGTTAGTGAAGCAGCATCATAGTTCCTACTTTAGCTGGAGGATGGCCCTGTTAGTCGCTCCCCTCACCTATGCCACAGTATCTGTGACTTGTTTCTGTGCAGGAAAGAGCAATCCATACTGTGAAATCAGCATGGGCTCCCAGAGCTACACCACCAGAACCCTCCAGGACACACTAAATCCCAAGTGGAATTTTAACTGCCAGTTCTTCATTAAGGATCTTTATCAAGATGTGCTGTGTCTCACGATGTTTGCAGAGACCAGTTTTCTCCCGATGTAAGTATAATTTCCTGGTTTTCTGGAATCTTAGGGTCTAGATCCAGGTGCTCAGTCATATGTACTCAGTTGCCACCTACAGGAAATGACATACACCTGTGCCGCTCACTTTGGCAGCAGGTAGGTGCCCTTCCTCAGGAAGAGGGGCTGGCCTCTGACCCCAACTCCTTCCCACACACAAGTAAGCACTGTACTCCTTGTGTACAGAGCATTCTCTGACCAGAGAGACTTGGAATTCCACATAGGCTGCTGCTCTCAGATAAATCTGATGTCACTGTGTGCCTCCACTGACAGTACTAAACAGCCACATGTCAAAGAAGTTACTGGTTTGGGCTTTGAAAGGTTTATGAATCCTGTTAATGTAGGTTTAGAACAATTTTGTAAAAACAGAATTTTGACCCTCACATGATGTTTATTCACCAGATTTCCTGGGTCGTACTGAAGTTCCAGTGGCAAAAATTCGAACAGAACAGGAAAGCAAAGGCCCTACAACCCGTCGACTACTGCTGCACGAGTCCCCACCGGGGAGGTCTGGGTCCGCTTTGACCTACAGCTGTTTGAACAAAAAAACTCTCCTGTAGGGCTGGTGGAGGGGCTCAAGTGATTGAACACTTGCCTAGCAAGTGTGAGGCTTTGAGTTCAATCCCCAGTACCACCAAAAAAAAAAAAACCAGACAAAACTCTCCTGTAGGAGACTGGAGAAGACAGCAGGAGGGGACCTAACCCACAAGGCTGGGGCTGAAGAGCATCAAACAGCTTCATCTATCACAAAGCCACGCGCATGGGCCTGTATTTTATTGCACACTGAACTGCTAGCAATCTATGCAAACATCTTCCTTATGAATAAACAAACCCACAGCACAGTGCCTTGTACTAGTGTTAACATGTTCAGCTGTGTTAGATGCCAGGGGTTCCATTTTCAGGGCTATAAAAGCATTATGTGGAAATGTGGCGTCAGACCACCAGTTGTTACCACTGCGGAGTAGTAGGAAGGCGGAACCATTCTACACCGTGTGGCCTCTACTGGGTCACAGCACTCAGGACGGGAGGGGTTGGGATGAAAGGCTGCAGCCTCTGTTTGCAAGCCTCATACTGAAATAGCGTCTCCTTGTGCACTGAGAGAGAAACCTGATCATTTTCTTCCTGGTTCGATTTTATCATTTTCTGCTAAGACAATAGAGTTTGAAATACAAGGGGAAAGCTTGATGTACTTTAAATACTGTGAACTCTAATAATGTGGAAAATATTTTTCAACTTTAATTTTCAGAAGTATAAATTATTTATATAAATTCCTTGTTTTTGCATATTTCATAGGACATGCATCTTTAAGCTTTATCGTTGCCAATATGTACAGA